CAGAGAGCATGGCTGAAGCGCTGCAGGAGGGCTTGTGTGATAGGTCATTCATTGCTCAAGTGAAACGCGCCAAATTGAGCAATGCAGCCACCTGCTCAGCTACTTTGCTGGGCCAGGTTGGTTTCGAATCAGTTTCCCTTCTAGGAAAGGCACTTAGGTCCTGGCATATTTTGCCCTTCCAAACACCACCCAAGTTGCTGTTTTGGAGTTATGACGTTTTGGTGGTGGGTTTCATCTCAGGCATGAAGCCTTGCGCAAGAAGCAGGCATGGAGACTGACTTGGAGAAATGACTGGGAGAAGATGATCCTTGCAGAGGTTGAAGAACCCACATCAGTTATAGCCTATCATATCCCATATATGTGCACATGTATCTCTTTTTTTGAGGCCTCCTCCCATGTTTGGTCTGTTGGTAGAGGTTCACACTTCAAGGACATCGTTCTGTATTGACCCGAAGACTTGAGGCGGACTTGCAAACGAAGAAGTCCGCACTGGAAGAGGAGGCAGATCCGTCATCTGCGTCATTCGATTGTTGCATTCATTTGTTTATTTGACAGTCAGACTGATGTGTTTTCTCCAAGTTTTACAGGTCTTCTATCTTTTCGTGTGGTCTTTTCTTGGTGACATTTATATATGGCATAGTGTGGGCATTCTTAACCTTGAATGGGCAAGAAAGAGCTAAAGGGCCGGCACACACACACACACACACACACACGCATATCTGACCTTTCTTCGTTCGTTTCTGTGCATGATGTCTGGTACTTGCTGAAGTTATGGCGAGGTGATTTCAAAAAGACCGTACTTTTTGACCTTTGTCAATGTACCTTCAATGTGCACTCTCAGTGAAACTGGGCCCCGGCCTGGTCTGTTTTTCGCCAGATCTCCGAAGGAAACACTATGACATGCCGCTCCGACCACGGTTCCGCCGCTCCGACCACGGTGCCTTTTTCGGAGAGGTGCGGAAGTTGGAAGCGGATCTGCAGGCCGGGTTTGCGGGTGTGCTGGGCGGGCCCCGAGGGGTGCGGGGGTCTAGCACGACTCATGTTGAGTCCAGGGAAGAGCTGCACGGGAGACCGGAGGGAGGACCCCATGCCAGATACAGGATCATTGCAACTACCAATGGGGCAAATCTTCCGCTCAACGGCTGTGTTTTTTCGTGTGGCTCCCTTAAAAGGCACTGGTACCGAGACAGGAAAACGTAAATTTCTTGAAAGTTTGTGAACACCACTTTCAGAGCTCCCAGCCAGCTGTTCTTCCTTTTTTTCCCCAGCTCCCAAGCCCCCCACGGCTTTTTCATTTCTTCTCCCCTGGTGCACCACCCTCCGTGACCCGTCCTCCATCCCGGTGTTTGGGGAGGCACAGGACCTGCAGGAAGCTCAGCGGCAACAGGGCCTGGCTGAGCTGCGCCGAGAGGTGGGACGTATAGGTGTTGTGAAAGGGAAGTATGGGGGGTGTGCTTGGTGGATCACGATCTGGAACGACCTTTTGGTCCGCTATGGGGAGGCTATGGGAGGCTAAACCCCTGCTGTTTCACACCAAAGGCCGGGGATCGATTCCCCCTTTGGCAGAGCTTCCCCTTTGCAGATCGCCTCGCCGCGTGAGGTGCTGGCAGAGGCGGAGCGGACGAAGCAGAAGCTGCAGGAGGCGCGAGGTTTGGATGGAGGACACCGGACACCATCCGGACACCATCGGGATGTTGAAATGTGTTGAATGGACGACCCAGCCCAATGACTTCTCCCTTCTTCCCATCCCCCAACCGGTTCCGAAAACGGACCATGGACCGACCGAGCAAGTTCCAGAACAGCACGCCCCGTTTTTCGCCTGCTGTGGAGGCTACGGCTACAGGTTCTCATGCTTGGAGCCGGTGGAACCACTTGAGGGATGGACTACAGCGACACATCAACGCATCGACACTTCCTTCTGGCGACCCTTGCTTTGAGGATTTTGAGGGGAGTATTTGACATTTTTCTATATTTTCCGGCACATGTCCTCGCAAGACCTTGCCATTACAACAAGTTGTACTTGTTGGCTTCTGGCGATGTCGCTCACCGTCACATGAGGTCGAAGCCTCCCTCACGGCGGCCAAAGCCGAGGCCCGTTCGGGCCGTTCGGCAGCCACTGCCCTGGCTCCCCGGGTGCGGCGGCAGGTTGTAGACTTCGAGTGACGCATTTCCGGCGCAGACCGAGTGGCACCAGATATTGAGGTGTTGGCTCCAGAGGTGTTGGCAGGTCCCGATCTTTTTCTTTTCGTTTTCACTGAGAAAGCGGATGTCAAGGATTGCCGCAGACGGCCTTTCTCGCTATGGCTCCAACCGCAGCCATGACAGACCGAGTAACGGCCGTTTCTCGCATGAGAGAGCACAAAAGCTGTCCTCCAATAGATATGCAGAGTTCAGGAAATCAACAGTCAAGATTTCGCCAACACATTCTGAATTCTATAGAAATGGATAGCACCTGAAAGAGGAAGATAATCATGTCGTCCTTCGGCTCCAAACATGCATTAGACGCCTTGACTTCCTTTGAATACAACTGTCTCGCATGGACATGCCCCGCCCCAAGAAACGAGCAGCAATTCAGATACTCCCACTTTAGGGACGAGGACAGCTGTCCTCACCCCCGATGGTGGGAGCCCTATCGAAGGCGCGGAACGACGGTTCTTCGTTGGCATGCCCCTCTGGATGTCCGGTACGACCACCGTTTTCTCGGCCAGGAGAGCCATGGCGGCTGCTTCCAGTTCGCTGACCTGGCGACCGCAGGCGCGCGCGACCGGTGGGGCTGAGTCGAAGCCGACCCCCTCGAGGAGGTGTGACGCTGCTTGGGTTGAACTGGGTGCCTTGAGCCTGTCTGTCAGCCTTTTATGGGTCTAATTATGTCAGCTCCTTAGACAACCTGCACACATGAAGATTCGGATGGGCGAAACAAGACCCTGCACAAAGACAGACCTGGAGTTCCTGGAGTCTCAAAGTTCTGAAGTACCATTGAACTGTTTTTAGGCCAGACCAATTTTGCCCCCCGAATTTTTGGACCTGCAGCACCCGCATCCCCAGGCCAGCCCGGAAAGCCTGCAGATGCCCGAGCGCGACGCCCGCGACGGGCGCCGTTCGCCCTTCGGCGCGGCCGCGGCTGCGCGGGCCACGCATTCGGCGGTGCTGGGGCCGCAGACCCATCGGCTGCCGTCGAAGGTGATGTGGAGCTGCTCGGATGAGGAGGAAAAAACACATGTCGAAGGTGATGTGGTTGAGATTGTGTAGCACTGGGGCCCAGGAGCGGCCCCACGGGTGTTGAAGGCGGATTTCCCTGGGGGGGCGGGATTTCCACTGAGTTGGTGCGTGAAGAGAGATTTCTCGGCCCACTACCCCCAAAGAGATCCTTCCGAAAAGAGAATGGCACCTTCATTCTTCAGATCCTCATGCGTCCACTGCGTCCACCCTCCAAACCCCAAAAAGACCTTCCAAATCCAAAGCACCTTTCAACTCTCTTGCACTTCTGGGAATTCTCTTGGCCCCCCAAATCCCTCCCAACCTCCCAACCTCCTGCCCCCCCCCCTCCAGGCGTGACGATGCTCACGGCCTCGGGGGGGGGGCCCATGAACTTCGGCGCCCTGGCACCGGCAGCGGTGAAACGGTGGTGGGGACACGAGGGCGTGCAGTGCAGGTGCTTTTTGAATGAGCAGTAGAAGTGGGTCTGCTGCATTTCCATGTTCACTCTCTTAGTGACAGGCAGGTAAAAGTTTGAACAAACCTGGAGAATGTACCTGTCTAGTCACGACAACAATTCTGAGCGTATTCTGGGCTCAGGGGATTGTTCATTATGACTCAAGAGTCAATCCTGGAACTCGGTGACCAGGCACAAAAGATGGCCCAAAAAAATGGCCGGACCATCCAAAAACGTCATGATGTAGTTATCTCAAAAAGAATCTATATCATGTTCTCATATGTTATCAAAACCAGGAGCAATACATGTATCCAGCCAAAAGGTACTGGTCTCCCGGTACCTTAAACAACAAAAGGGTATTTTCTCTGGGCCCGTCTCTCCCACGGGCATCGTGGGATCTCATTCACCATCAATGCTGTTATGGAGAACTCATCCGGAACATCCAGAAACCGGATCGTAATATTGTCGGCTAAAGTGGCAAAACACACCACATTGCCGTATGCAAGCAGTTTCAAGCAGATTTGTGCAAGCAAACAAGTGAGCAGGTGCCAAGTATCCTTCAGTGATATTGGCTACACTATCAACCTCCAAACAAAAGGACGCCAACAAAGGACTGATATTCACTACTCTGGGGTTATCTCTCCAGTGAAGATCCAGGCGAACCTTCCAGTGACTCAGGTATGATCTTGGCCATCAAGTGGTTGGTGGGTCTCAAGTTTTCCACGATGCAAAGAGCCATCGTTGAATCAGGCTGGGCTAGGCGAAACTTGCGTGACGTGCTGTGCGAAGCGCGGTGGGTATGGGGGCCAGCACAGGTTTGGGTGATTGGTAGGGGGTAGGTCAATCAAACCCAGTTATAAGTTATATATCTTAAGACAATACATCACACACACATGTTTGGTGTTTCCTAGAGTCCTAGAGCCTGCACATGATGGAGCCATCACCCCCTGAAGTCCAGGATGCGAACCATCTCCCGAGGCCTGAAGAACGGGGTGTTTCCATGTCTTCTTGTTCGAGCGGGGGGTGGGGAGCCGCGCTTGCGAGCACCTTGCGAGCACCTTGCGGCTTCGGCGGCTTTTTCGGGGGAACCGCACCCGATGGACCTTCGATGGAGAAGGGTCATGAGTCATCCCTTTGATCACCTGTTGCCGAACGGCCTACCGCCTGGCGGCCGCCGAACCGGCCGGCCGCCTGGTGCCTTTTTTTTAGCTCTCTTCTCATGTGCAGAGGGCGCACTGCCTGACGGCATTGGATCCGACTTCAAGGACCCTTTCTATTTTCCACTCAACAAGGCCTCGATGAACCAATAAGCATGGCCGTGGATCGCAGGGAGGTGAGGTAGCAGATGATGGGGGACCTCCATCTGAATGACGGGAACCTCCATTTTCTTGTGGTTTTCTGGGTCCACCTTGAACCAGGTGTGCTTCATGGAATTCTGGTCTTAGTCTTGATCTCCACCAGCTATGCGGTCGTGGGGGTCTGCCTCATCCAGCTCCTTGGATCATAGACTCGACCGCTTGGGCTCTGTGCCACTGGGAGAGTTGGTGAGTGGGTCAAGCACATTGAAGCCGCCATGGGGTGCCACTCCTGAGCGGCTTCTTCGAGTTGTGAAAGTCTCACCACACGGATCTGTGGAAGAGGATGCCGTTCGAACGAGGCGTTCAGAGGTTTGAACATGCATGGGCGAGAACCGACCTGACTTCTGCTTTCTATTTGGGTGGTGTGTTCAAAAATAGGCACTCGAAACATATCATCTCCACTGCTTCCCCTTCGACCCAAACACCTCGACGCGGTTCGTGGCGCCAGGTTCGTGGCGCCCAGCTGTGGTGGTTCCGGCATCCCCGAGAACAAAGCCTTTCTCAATGGGGCACAGATGCCGGGCCTCTACAGCGACTTGGACGGTTTGGGACTGTGCGGAGTGGCCAGTTGAGAGCTGGCCGAAGAGCCGGGGTGTGATTTCTTGGATGTGGTGGGCTGTCGGATGCCTTCGGAAGCTCCTAACTTGCTGTGAGGTTCGAGAGCGATGTTCGATGTTCGTGAGTATGCGGACGTGCCGCCTTAGCAGAATACACCAAAGGAGGCCCACACACAAGGGCTTTAGGGTTTAGGGTCAAGTCGGAGACGTTCATCATGGGGTCGAATTCTCCTGTTATTATATTTCCCTAGGGATCCAGTCGTACCTTCTCAGGTACGGTGATGTGTTCGACACTCTCATTGTAGGTGCCACGGTGCCGTCGGGTCCAGTCGTACCAAGTTCTGAGGTTCGGTACGAAAACGGATCCCTAGGGCTTTCGATGTGTCCAAGCTGGAAATCCACTCCATCCTTCTCCGGAAGAACACCCGCTCCACACCTCAGGACCTTCCGAGACGTTCCTTCGAGACGGTGCCCCGTTTTTGATCCTATCGATTTGGGATCCCCCAAGCCTGATCGAACAGTTGATCCCCCCCACTCTCCCCAGTACAAAATAGGAAACCGTTTCTATTGATCTAGGGGAACCACTTATAAAATACATTAATAATCCTAGAACCTGAGCGAACAATGTAGTCTTTTCCCATCAAAACAGAGATCATATGGGTTCTAGGCTACGATATGTTCCACCCACCTTCCGCCACTCCACGGGTTCGCCGACCGACTGCACCGCAGTGAGGCCATCGCACCTGCTGGGTGCGCGCGGGCACCAACATCTTGGCCAACGCCGCCGGATTCCCCGTGGGGCGAGAAGGGCCGATGGTGACCATCGGCAGCAACCTCGCTTACTTGCTCTGCCGCTTTCTCGCGGCAGTGGTGAGAAGGGCGGGATGTGGGGGGACTGGTTTGGGAGGGAAGGCCTTTATTGGGGGGAAGTGGAAGGTGGGTGGTTGGGTTTCTGGCGGTTGGAGGGGTGGGGGGGTTGCTAGAGGTTCCGTTTGGATGGGATTGAGACAACTGGGGGTCTCTAACGGTCGAAGGTATGCAGCTCTATGCTGACTCGAAGGGTCGAAAGGTCGTGTTTTCGTGCACTTCGCACTTCTCACTGCATCCGCCAACACACTGGACTACTGGACATCGTTTCCGGTATTCCATTGGACACCCCTTTGAAGGGTACTGTTGGGATCTGTTGGGCGTATAGGCAGACCTTCCCAAGCCGGCAGCTTCGTTCTTCCATCAACGGCTTCTCCTGGGAGGTCTTTGAGCTAGGTTTGCTTTGGACTGATTCATGGGGCCACCAGTCGTATATCCTTAGGGCTCCTGGCCTACCTCCGTGAGGTTCGGTGGTTGGGGTGGGTGCCAGGGGGGTCTACCCCCCCTTCCGAGGATAGGGTTGGAGCCCTTGGGATCACACTCCAAAGACCTCGGATTCCGAGTGGATGGAGAAGTTCGGCTATGCCACCATCGTCCCGCAGCGGCAGTGCCATGCCCTGCATCCCTTCGTCAGAATCAGAAGAGGCTTTTCCCATCCGTTCGTCACATCGTTTCCATCGGTTCCCAGCGAGGTGAGAAAGTCCTGCAGCCCTACGTGAGAGAATGGGCACCTGGGCATGGGTCGAGAGTGTGGTCGAACACCTGGAGGGTGCTTGGTGTCCCCGGGCAGCTCCTCAAATGAGAAGCAAGCATTTTGCAATGTCAGTTTAGAACGTTTACTTTTCAATCTAGGTCCTAGTCCAGGGTCACCATCAACAGGATGTCCAACATCACGAAGTGAGTTTCTAAATCTTTGGGCGGTGACTCTACGTGCTTTTCTCCCCAACTCGGGAGAGGTTGCCAGATGGATGATGCCAGTTTGGTCACCCTCACCAAAGACAAGGTACTCTGTCAAAGAATATCATCTTCATTCATCTTCCAAATGTCGTCTTCTTTTCTTCCGATGTTTCACTTGCTTCAATCCCCATCACCCACTCATGGCTGCACATGTCGGACAGGTCACAGTCGCAGGGAGCCCTGCGCTCTTGGTGGATGAGCAACGCTTGGCGCATGCCACACGGATCTCCTGTGCGCCATGCAAGGTGGACAAGGGGGGGTTCTTCCCAATGGACCGGCATGATGTGGACGTGTAGAAAAACCCTAGGGCAACAACCATTTCGTGAGTGAGAAGGTGGTTGGGGTGGGTGAGGGGGGTCTACCCACCTTCTGAGGATAGGGTTGGAGCCCTAGGGTATGCATACATTTAAATAGGGAGACCTCCTGGCCCGGGTTGGCTGGTCTAGTTTCTTTTCCTTTCGGCGGATGGCGCTCATCGTCCTTAGTCCTTTTCCTGCCCATGTCCAAACAGCTCGGGACGATGCTTCGACTCGGGGTCAACACCTTCCATCGATTTCGGACCTGCGACGGCGAGGGAGAACCGGGGTGAAGTGCTGGGGAGTGCTGACATCTTGGAATCTAGGCTTCAACACCCATGATGCTGCTTTTGACTCGAATTGAGCAACTCGAGAAGAGCATGCTGCTGACTCGAATTCCGTCGTCGCTTGCCCTAATGCTTGCCCTATCCCAGCTACAACTGACTCTCCGTCCCGGATCGTCCGGTGTCCACCCCAGGTCCGGCCGGCTCATGGTTGGGACTCCCTGGTGGGCTCCGAAAAGCCACAGAGGTGGTTTGTGAGCATTTTCTCGGACTCACCTGGGGTTACCCAACTGGGTTAGTCTAATAGCTGTAAGCCATAGGGTTCTTCAACCTTTGGTTGAGGCCTGTTGTCGACACTGGCGAACCCACTGGGCACCCCAGTGGGGTCTTCCACCTCTGCTGGTTCCGTCCGACACGACCAGGACGCGCACTACGGAGCCGCGCGCCGTCACAGGTACCGTGGGCGGCGCCTGTGCGATCGCGGTGATCTTCAACGCACCCTTCGGGGGGTTGCTCTACATGTTCGAGGAGCGGTACTTGGATGGAGGTGGCCGCGGTGGTTCCGGTGAAACGCAAGGATCTTGTAGGTGCAAAGGCCGGACTTTTGATGTTGTAGTAGGTGGTTCCCAAGTGTAGCAGGTGTCATAACATGTCATATCAAGAGCTTTCTAGCGTGGGTCTTCACTTGTTTTCCATACACGAAGAGGATGATGACACCTTATTTATTCAGATTTTGGTCCTCCCATGAAGTGTTTTGGTGTCTCGTCGGTCGCACAGCCGGCTGTCATGCGCACGAAGGAGAGGGTCATCGGGATGGGCCAGTTTGGTCATCCGAGCGTTTTGATGCGTGGCATCGTGGCCATTTAGTTCTCCATACAGCTTCCCCGTTTTTCTTCTCAGAACTGAAGGAATCGGAGATGGTCACGAGAAGTCAGTATGAACCAAAGAAGCTCTCTCACCACAAAACTCCACGTGGTTTCATTTTTTGAGGTCCATTCTTGGCTTTCATGCAATGCTATAGACTCTCAATCAGTGCTACTTCAATGAATTTCCATCATTGTTCAACTCCAGCGGTTCATCGTCTGCGCTGGGGCGCAGCAGAACGCGTTCACACACGCGTGTGAACACGAGTGCCGGGTTCCGAACACCATGGCAACGTTTCAGGTCTCAGTAACGCAGCTGAATGGGGAGGACATGGCTCTTGAAGTGATGCCAGACATGAGTCTGTATGATTTCAAAGAATCTTTGAGAGCCTTCCAGATGAGCTCGTCGAGCGGAGAGAAGGTCGTCCTGTTTAAGCTTTCCAAGGTCGAGTTGTTGGTGGAAGGGCAAAAGCTGGTGGATGACAGACTAGCTTTGAGGGATACCGGCATTTCTCCAACCACACGCATGCAAGTGCTCTTTACTTTCCCAGAGGTGGAATGCTGCAGCAGACATGCATCTGGAATGGATTCTAATGCTTTGACCATAGTAAGAGTTCCTGACTGTGCGACCTTCATCGAAGACAGTGCCTTCTTTGGCTGTAGGTCACTGCAAATCCTGACCATTCCAAACTCCGTGACGGAAATTGGAGCCAATGCATTTGCAGGTTGCAGTTCCCTGGCAAGCTTGACAATTCCAAACTCTGTGACTTCCATTGGGGCCACTGCATTTGCGGGCTGCAGTTCCTTGACAAACTTCACGATGTCAGACTCTGTTATTTCCATTGAAGCCAGCGCATTTTTTTGACTGCCGCTTGTTGAACAGCTTGGCAATTCCAGACTCTGTCGCTTCAATAGGAGACTGTGCATTTTTCAATTGCAGTTCTTTGACAAGCTTGTTGATTCCAGACTCTGTCACTTCCATTGGGAACTCTGCATTTGAAGGCTGCAGTGCTTTGACAAGCTTGACAATTCCAAACTCTGTCACTTCCATTGGGTCCAATGTATTGCGAGGATGCCGTTGGTTGAAAAGCTTGACCATTCCCAACTCTGTAACGGCAATTGGACATCGGACATTTGGATACAGTTCTTTGACAGGCTTGACGATTCCAGACTCCGTCACTTCCATTGGGGCCAGTGCATTTGAAGGCTGCAGTTTGCTGAGACGCTTGATTATTCCCAACTCTGTGACTTCAATTGGATACCGTGCATTTGCAGGCTGCAAGTCTTTGAACAGCTTGACCATGTCAGACTCTGTGGCTTTCATCGGAACCAATGCATTTGAAGGCTGCCGTTTGTTGAAAAGCGTGGAACTTCCCAACTGTTTGACTTCAATCGGAGAGAGTGCCTTTGCAGGCAGCTCTTTGACAAAGTTGACGATTCCGGACTCTGTAACATCCATTGGGGCCAATGCTTTCAAGGACTGCGATTTGTTGAAGCGCTTGGCGATTCCCAACTCTGTGACTCTGATTGGAGATCATGCATTTGCAGGCAGCTCTTTGGCAAGCTTGATAATTCCAGATTCTGTGACCTCCATTGGGGTCCATGCACTTGACGGCTGCCGTCTGTTGAAAAGCTTGACCATTCCAAACTCCGTGACGTCAATTGGAGCCAATGCATTTCAAGGCTGCAGTTCCTTGACAAGCTTGACGATTCCAGACTCTGTGACATGCATTGGAGCCCGTGCATTTGCAGGCTGCAGTGCGTTGAGGAGCTTGACCATTTTGAATCGTCGGATTTCCATTGGAGCTGATGCCTTTGAGAATTGCAAGTCGTTAACCAACTTGACTGGTCCAGATTGGGTGAAACTGGCTGTCCTTGGTTACCAGGGCAAGGCGCAGCCCTCTGGCTATGGCAACCAATCTCGGAGAAGGGAGAAGCACACTGAGCAAGGCAAATGAGAGAACAATGTAATATTCAGACCTACCCAGCAGCGATCAAGAGAGTGAATCGCTTCTGCCAATGATCCAAGAGACATGCAACTGACTTGCTAAAGCATTGCATCTCGCATTTGCTCCAATCGACACTGGAGGGGTGATTTTCGTTGACCGGGCCTTGGCCAAGCTGAGTTGGTTCAGAAGCAGCTTCGATTCCCTGCTTCGAAGCAGGGCCTCCAAGGGCATCGGTGTGTGTTCTGCATCAAAGGGAGCTTGGGGAGCCATCCGTTGATGTGTGACTTGACGTGTGACTCTGGGCTCCAAACCGAGGACCCGGTTGAACCCAGGTTTTTTATGTGTTTCTTTTTTCGGTGCTTCTCGATCCCTTGGAAGAGGTGGTTGTAGTCCGCGAACAGTCCGGAGGGACGAGGTATGAATCGAGGGTCGGCCACTGAATAAACAAGATTTGTGTTCCCTACAGAGCCAACTCACGAGAGAAACCGATGGAGCCAACACACGAGAGAAACTCCCAAAACGCCCGTATTCTTAAGACCATGCCTTTCCCCAAATCCCAGAGTTTTGGATGTCCCTCGGATCCTCTCATTCCCATCCCATCCCAGCCATCTTGAGTGCTCCGCCACCCGTGTGGGCTAGTCGATGAATCTCGGGGAGGATGGCACCGGTTTCACGGTGGCGGCGGTGTCCGGTGCCTTTTTTTCGAGCCACGGCTGTCCAGGAGGTGACGGCCGTGTCCTGGTATGAAGAGCTCACCTTCCGGGTCTTCGTGAGTACCATGTTCTGCACCTGGGACCTTACAGTTTCTCCGCAGGCTTGGAGAAACTGGGCCAGAAGTTCTTGGAGTCTTCGTGGATTGAGATAGATGTTCAAGGGTCAGTGAATCTGAGCCAGAGTGGTTTGGAGACTATATAATTTATTGTATAATCATATCCAAGTGGTCCATGTGGTTGAAGAAACAGCCAAGAAATGGGGACTTCTTCTTGCCCAACGAGTTTAAACAGATGAAGACAGCCATCTGGCCATCTGGGGGCAACATGTTACATGATGATACATGATATATAAGTGTTATTAAAATAGTTTCCTGTTGGTCAGTCATGGGCTTTTGCTTGAACTACTCCCAACACACCTCCATGCACTTCGTTGGCGATATTCCAAACGCAATTGTGGAGCATATGTTTGTCTTTGTTTTCTGTGCTTTTCAAAGAAGGATTCTACACACTAAGCTTGAAGTTTGTGAAGTCGCAGAGCACGAGGCTCCTTGCTCTCCTACGGCTTGTGCTGGTTGATGGGCTCGGACATCACCGAGTTTGTGATCTATGCCGAGACCCCTCAGATCAAGAAGTGGGCTTGGGGTGCCCAGGCCCAAGTTTCGTGCGCTTAAGGCTGGCTCCTTTTTGAAACTGAGGAGTAAAGGACTGAACAGCACTCCAAGAGTATGGGCCTTTGGGTCTTTAAATTGATTCACCGACAGCTAATCCTCCTCTGAAGAGGCTTTCGATCGAGCGCGCGAGGGGGGATGTACCTGAGGGCATCCAAAGAAAGCCAACAAGTGTTGCTTTTCGAGGTGGCTGGGAGGATGGTTTCGTTTCTTGTTTTCCCCAGATTCATCCTCTACCTCTACGGATGACTGTCTACTGTACCTGTTCTAGCCAATCAAAGCTCAAACGAGTTCGTGTTGGACTCTCAGGGTGGCTGGTGTGGCTGGTCGGATCCAGGATGGAGCCCTCGTGAAGCTCAATGATACCCATGGCCCATAGCTGTTCATTCAAATAGCAGGCAAATCTTGCTTGACTCTATTGACTTCACCCCAATCAATGTCAAAAAGAAACACTTCATCCTTCCTTTCGGTGTTCGCTCATCGTTTTCGTTTTCAACACTGAAACAGAAACGCTCACTCTCACACGAAAAAAACGCGGTTTTCTCCGTGCCCTTCCCCTTTTCACGCCCACGCCGCGTACCTCGCCCCGTCGCTCTCCGTCGCCTCCCTCCCCCTCCCGTCCGCGCGCACGTCGCCGGGCGTGGGGCGGAGGTGATGTGCCCATCTTCGTGGCCTTGGCGGCCTTGGTTGGAGTCCTCACGTCGCTCCACACCCGCGCCATGTGGCGCTTCGCAGCTCTCAGGCGCGAGGGATTAAGGGATTGGATGGCTCGGTGGGGTCGAAGAGGAGGGGGAAGTCCAGTTGGAACCCTCACAAGGGTTTTGGTGAAGCCAACAGGAACCGAAACACCCATGGAAAACCGACACATGCATTGAAGGAAGCTCAGGTAGTGATTCTTTCTGCCTTTTGGCGGTGGTCGAACATGTGCGTCGCTTGGCAGGCAATCTTCCCGTGAGCGCTGGCGGCGTCTGCAGCCCTGGCCCGTGCTTGGGCGGCAGCTGTGGTCCCACACCCCGGGCACATACATCTCTTTACAACATGTTACAAATATATACTAATACTACTAATACATATGCAGTTGCAAGCATGGACAGGATGTCACTTTGTTCTTTTGAAACAGCACCCTAAGATTCTTGTGCTGCAGTAATTCCCTCGAAAAAGAACGCCCAAAGTTCCCTCACCTATCTTGGGTTTTGACTCGACCACTGGATGTCTCGCAAGGGCGAGCCATGCAGCCATTGGAAGTCTTTTCCCAGAGTTAACTACCAGACGCATTTCTAGCAGAGGGCTGATGTTTTCGCCATGTCAACCTTGAGTGAAATTCGGTCCCCAAAGAAGCAGCCGGTAAAGAGCGGTATTCGACAGACCTTGAGAGGGGAAGAACACATAGTTTGTTCATCTCTTTTGGGTTCAAAGCACCTCTGCAGTTTGGGTTCAGATCAATAATAACTAATCTGATCCCAGCTAGCTTGATCAATCCCAAGCGATGCTAGTGCCAGTGACCAATGCACCAGATCTTGCTTGGTTTCCATTCTCTTAAAGGTGGTGGTGGAGACGACGCTTTACGCCTCATTGTGTGCTTTCACCTCAGGGCAACTTGCCGAGTCGGGGATGAGCTTTTGAGGGGTGAGACGGGGTGAGATAGAGTCGAGGACACCGTTGGACAAATCCATTCCCTAGGAATCCAGTCGTACCTCCTCCAAAGGTACTTGGACCCTCCTGGCGCCCACCCCAAACACCTTCTCAGAGGGTACTTGGATCCTTAGGGATTATATACAATCTACTAAATAATGATGTGCAGCTCATGAGCTGGTGTCTTCTCTATTGCAAAACTTTTTTGAGCAGGGTGACATTAAGATAAACTTGGTAGTTTGCAGCGGTGAGCACTGAAGACAACATATCGTTCTAGAATTTCGCCCAAAGCTGTTTCATTGCACGTTATATATATGGACCGTCCGGTCACTGCAACGCTTCTGGCGAAAGTCTCGCGAACACGAGCAGCGAACTTCTGGGCCCTCTTGATAGGGGATGCGAGATGATGTGAGCCCTTGACTTGCCCGGTTTTGGCCTCACAAAAGCGGGCAACTGCAGTCTGAGGATGGTCTCTCTTCTGGCAGTCTGCGCTAAGGAGTCCAATCTATTGCAGTCGAGTCGTTCGAAACAGGTTGAGGGACTGGTGCACTTGAGGGACTTTTTGGAAGAACAAGCAAGGGGAACACCTGGAAATCGCAACAAACCTGATCAAAGAACCTTTTCCTTCACTTTCCGGCCTATTTTATGTAGACCTACTTTGAAGCCATACAATATCATACAATCATAGCCAGTCGGGAAGAGGGGGGGAAGGGTATCAAGGGCAAACTCCAAGACATTCTCCCAGTGTGAAAGACCAGCTTGCAAGAAGCTTCTCGAAACACCTGGCCGCTACGTGGATGTGCCGGCACGCTTTCACGACGGATGTGCCGTTTGGCTGGAGCCAATTTACATGGCATCCGTCTTGTTTGTGCGCAACCAAATTCTTGGTTCCCCAGGTCCGCAGTCGTTGATTCGTTCCCCCCAAACTAATCAACCCAACACCAACAGTCCAAGGGACCGATGACCACCGCGTGGTTGACGAGTCTCGTTTTGTGAGGAGGGTGAGTCGGGCTTGGAATATGTGCCCTTCAACTGCCCCGAGGCGACGTGAACCAACAGCGCTTTTCGTTGTTTTGGCGGTGCTGCGGGACGACCAGTGGTTTCAGAGTAGATGGCACGAACCGAAACAGATGTCCTTTACATGGGGGGTTCACTACTAAACCCCCTCTCGGGGTCTTTGCCATCTACTTTTTTTAGGGGAGTCGGGATGGGGGTGAGCGAGGTGAGGGCTCCTGGTGAGAGTGATGAGTTGGTGTGGGGAACAAGGGGGGTCTGAAAAGGATCGGATGTGGGATATGGGTCGATGCACATCAATTGCAAAGAACACATTGCTACTAGTGGCGATGCACTTGTTCCTAATAGCTTCTTGTTACTAGTGGTCATGCCCCTGTTACTAGTAGCGATGCACTTGCTACTAGTCGCGATGCCGGCAGGGAAAGGCGGGGGATCCATCCACTCGGCAGACTCGGTAGACTCTCCCCTCCACCTGATGCCATGAAGCTCAGCTTGGGGGCTGGCTGGTCGGGCGAGTGTTCTTTCTTCCCCCCGTTGGTAGAAAGAAACAGAAACGTCTTCCTTACGGGGCCATGGTCCACTTCCATGATTCTTTCAGGGAGCGTGTTTCTTTGTTCCCCAGCTTATCCGGAGCAATATCCAAGTCAGAGAGCCCTGGCTGAGTTGATCTGGACCCTGGGTCCGATCATGGCCCATCCAACGCAGCGCGGATCCGGTGAGGGGCAGTACAACCCCATTGCCTCGTTGCTGGTGGCCACCTCTCACAGCCGGGGCGCGCCAAGGGACGGACTCCGTGGAGAACGCTTGGGGGATTGGGGTTGAAGCAGCATCGTGCCAAGGACGTGAAAGAGAGGAGGAAGGTCATTAGAGAAGATCACAAAGAACGTGTGAAGGTGACGTGGTGAGGACGATCACCACCACCTTTTTGCAAAGGATTGTGATGGAAAAAAACGATGCCGAACACCACGATCTTGAGTAAGATGAACCGAACAGACTCCTTTTCTTGTTCACATCACTCGTTCTTGCCAGACCAGAGACGCTGCACCGTTCTTGCCGTGATGGCACAGCTCTGCATCCCAGAAGGTTCCACCCACACTCAGGATCTTAAACCTCAACCCCTCAAACTCACACACACTCTCTCTCTCTCTCACCCTTGTTGTTGGCTTTGGACCAGGACCCACACAAAGAAGGTGGCTTCTCTTGAATCATCCCCAGCTCCCTTCCCAGCTCCTTCCCCAGCTCCTTCCGGCACCTCTTCTAGCCCTAGATGCTCCTCGTTTTTCCACCCCCTGAGGCTCGGTGAAGCTGCTCTTCTCCGGCACCAACGGAGGCGAGCTGGCGAGAGGCTTCGTCGTGTGTACCCAATGGGGTCCCCTACCTACTCATGCACGCAGATCCGGCTCATTCTTTGTGGAATCATGTGGGACATTCGTGGATTCTCTTTCCAAAATGGCTTGAGATAGCGACTCAGTTGGCTTCACACCAAGCTATTCAGGGTCCTTAGTCCGGAAGAACACCGATCCCTTCCGCCCGGTTCCGTTCCGCTGGTGTCGCGGTTCAGCCGTTGGGGGCAAGATCCATGCGAGGTGAGATCCATGCGAGCTCTAGCTTCTTGGCCTTCCTCACCTACACGAGCCTCAACATTGGCTCTTTGGCCAATTTGCTTTGCATGTCTCTGACTCCTCTTTTTGGGGAAAACCGCGAAAGTGCACGGGCAGGCGAACACGGGGCTATCCGGCTATCCTTCAGGAGGACAATGGACGCTTTTAGGATGCCCAGCCCCAGAGGTTCTAGAAGTTCTCCGCACAGACGATAGCAATTTGCACGATTTTGCAGGATGCTTGCCTTAGTGTGTGTACTTGTGTGCGAACTCGAAGACCACCCCGGTGCCCTGGTTGAGCCTTGTAAAGTAAGTCCTTCAAGCTCGCATTTTGGGCCAGGTATGCTTTAAAATTGAAAGACAACCCTTTTCCCTTTTCCCCAATGCGTAGCGAAGGGTTCTCGTTTAACTCTGGGGGGGTCTGGGGTTAGAGTCTTGTTCGCGATTCGTTGTCGTGTCGACCGCAACCGTCCGCAACTGTTCGCAACCATTCGCAGAGATTCTGGAGAAGAGGATTGAAGTTTGAAGCACCCGCACGCTGAGGCAAAGCTTTCCTCACAGCATACAACCCTGAACAATCCCTGTGACAGAAACAAGTGTTGCTTTGCATGCTTCAGCTGTTTTTGTCCAACGTATGGAGCCTCGAGCCCCATAAACATCATTTGTGCCAGTGAATAGTTGAGCCTAGCTTGACACACAATTGCTCATGTGGCCGGTGCTGTTGTGCTCGAGCGGAAGGGTCATTTTAGTCAGTCTGTATGCCTTGAGTTCTTGAAGATGAACATCAGGCTCATCAGATTGTCTTGTACGGACTCGGAGTTGTGTCGCATAGGACTTTAGATGGGAGGAGATATTTAAAACACACTAGTAAGCTATGTTAACACTAAGAAGCTGAAAGCATCTGGAGCTTTTTACAGAGACACCATATGATAAGAAAGAAGATTGATCCTCTTTTAGCGAGCTCGGCCGACCCAAGACCATGGATGGTCCAAATGGCTCGAGTAGCCGTTCCGGGTCCGGGGGCTCAAAGTTTGCTAAAATGTAGAGGATGCTGTGAGGGTCCAGAGCCCACCAGCTATTATCCTGAATCCGAACGTAGTAAAAACCTCTCCATGCTTCTTACGCTTGAGTTTGCAGGCTGGGGCAGAGGACGACGTGGTGCAGCTCCAGGGCAGGAGATGCCTTCGTGTACCCGCTACGACGCTGTTCCCACCGCCCCTGGACATGATCAAGTTCGGATCCGTGGGTGAGCTGACATCAAAACGTTGTTTGGAGACAGTTCATGAAGTTATACGTGTCTGGGCGAAAATCAGACCGGCCCTCAGCTATGTTCAATTCCGAGGCCAGGAGCCTTCCGGATTCAGGAGCGCAGATCCCTCACGGCGCAGAGCTCGCATAAGTCGGAGGCGGATCACTGCAAGAGTCTTCGGACTGACTACAAAAAGCGGCGCGCAAAGGATGGAGAGAGGACATTTGCGGAGAAGAGTTCTTCGGTTACAAGGCACTCCACATCCATCCGAATTGCCGTGCAAAAGCATTGTGTGTTGTATTCGTACGGTGACACGACTACACCTTTCGACGGCTTTGAAGGAAACTGAAGGAAGAAGGTTGTAAAGAAAAGAGACAAGGAAGAAAAAACAAGAAAGCACCTCAACCAAAAAAAGAACACCAGGGAGAAGGGATGACGCTGCTTTTCTGCGCTAGTCGTTTGGAAAATGAAAGACATTCCCTACACATGTTTCACAGAACTGGCCACTTGGTAGTGCAAATGTAGTGTGGCCTCAGAGCTGGCAACTTGTAGCGCACATGTAATGCGGGAAGCAGGTGGTGGGAGCTGTGGCAATGTAGTGCGGGAAGCGGCTTCTGGCAGGTGCGGCAACACAGCTGGCCACTTGGTAGTGCAAATTGGCAGCTTTGTAGTACGCAGGTAGTACGGGAAGCAGCTTCTGGGAGCTGTGGCCTCAGAACTGTCAACTTGTGTAGCCAAATTACATCTGAGTACGTGAGTGTCGTACGTGAATGTCCCACGAAAGTGTCCCACAAGAGTGTCCTACAAGAGTGTCCCGCAAGAGTGTGCCACATAGTGACGAAAATGTCGCACGAGAGTGTCCCACAAGAGCGTTCTAGAAGCGTGTCTCCTAAAAGAATGTCAAAAGATGTTTGGGCGTTTGTTTTCGAGCGCATGTTTGCATTCGGGTTCGTGGGTTCCATTCTTTTTGGGACAACCAACCCATTTTCGTTTGTTTCGCGAGGTTTGGCTGGGCTACCAGTGCCTGGTGGAGCGTTCACTGCACCTGTGGCAGCAGTTAGCTAAATTTAGCACAAGAGGCCTACAACCCTTTAACATATGGAAGTGGATGGCATCGGTTCTGGGAAGGTCATTTTGTACCAAGAGCAGGGGTTTTCTACCTTGGCGCGTGGAACAGTTAGTGGGAAGACATCTACGCATCACATTCTATCACTCTTGCCAGAGCCCTTATGACCTTACCAGCTGCAGGGTGGCGTTTCTAACGGTCCGCGCTTGGATGAAGTGGAGCCACCCCCCAAAAACCGCGCCGAAGGGACGCAAAACCCAAGCGCCGAGGCGACCATGCTCATGGGCGGGCTGTTTGGGCGCTCTGTGGGCGCCTTCTGCCACACGCTGCAGGTGACTGGGAGCCCCTCAGGCGCCCGAGCCAGGAAGGCGTTTTTTTGGGGAGGAAAGGTGGTCTTCCCAAGGGAGGGGGTCGGCACCCGTGGGTGATCCCTACCCACAGCAACCCGTTCCAGTTCCCGCCGTTGGACCTCAGTGGTCACCATGGTCCAAGACCTCAGGCGTCTATGCAGTGGTGGGGAGCGCCACTCGGCAAATGAGACTCCGCGGCGGAAATCCTCCAAGGGGTTCTACAACCATTCTGATGCTTTGAAGAGGAGTGCTGAAATTTTTGGAGTTGCGCCATTGCTCAAGGATGGATTGTCAAGTTGTATTGAGTACTGTGACACAGTGTTTTTGGTGGAGGTGGCTGAAATGGGATTCACCGTTCACCATTCAAACTGTTCATGTCTTTTGTTTCAGAAATTTGTTTTACACAAACGCCAAAACGTTCAATTTCATAAAGAGCGGTCGTGAATTTCAGGAATTTGACTAAAACATGCAAAAGCGATAGGCGCCCCTCAAAAGCGATAACCATATTTCCGCAGTTTTTGGATATGTTCACTTATGTTGTGGCTAAAACCTTCAAAAGCGATAGGCCCCCCTCAAAAGCGACAACCTTGCTGAATCATGTCCTCTGCTTGACATACGTTTTGGCAGACGCTCTAATATGTCCTTTCTGATTTTGTTGCAACATATTTCATATCAATTTTAGCATTGAAACCTGGAGACGCCTTGCCTTTTAAGGAGCAACCTTTTCAACTAAAGAGAACATTCTACAGATTTCATGTTGCCCCAAAGACATTCCTTTTTTTTGAGAGATCATTTCAAGAAAGTGAGAGCCAATAGAGGGTGACATTTTGGACTAATAAAGATGTGATGCAAAAGCATGCTTTGAGTCTTAGTGATTTTATTTGCATATAGATTTTACACGGTTGCACTTACATGGTTGCAATCGCCGTGCATGGGGTCCTTGTGGCTGAAACATTCAAAGCTAGCAGGAAACACCTTGACTTTGTTAGGGCCGGATCTGTTTTGAAGAGCTTTTTGAGACCTTCCTTTTCCCCTTCCGCGGCCCACAGATTTCGGTGAAGAATAGGCAGAGTAGATACACACATCATGCTTTTGACCATCGGCTGGATGAACTGACAAACGCTCATATGGTGGCAGTTCGCTACAGGAGGAGTCTAATTTACTGTTGGCTCTAGATGGCTCTAGCTGGTGTAACTGATCCCTGCTAAAAACCAACTGATTCCCTGTGATTCCAAGGGTTTCACACACACAAAAACCGACCTGGCTCGTTGCCCAGGCGGCGATGTTGTGTGGCTTCAAGCAGATGACCTTGGCCTCGGTGGGGCGAGTGATGGCGTCACGTGAGACACAGATGATTCGATTCATATGATCATGATCCACCTGGGCACTGCATGGAATGGAAGAACCAACCAATTTTTTCTGTGGCCTTTTTTTGTGGCTTTTGGGATTCGCATTTTCACGTCTCGGTCGGACGGAGACATCTCGAACTCTGAACTCGGCCGAAACTCCAGGTCCTCATTGTGGTGGAATGCGTGAACGACCTGAGCCTGGCGCCCATTGTGATGTTGGGCGTGGCGGTGTCCATGGCAGCGCCTTGGGACGAAGGGTTCCGTCGGAGTTCGGTCGGAGATCTTTCTTCGCATGGCGCCACGGGAGTCGAAAAGGGTTGGACGATGGAGAGCTTCTCGGCACCAGATGCGTTGGTTTTCTTCGCCAGACTTTCCAGGTGTCCCGCGCCTTAGGAGGTGAAGAGTGATGGTTTGACATGGTCTTGTCGAGGGCTTGGTGGAAGTGCTTTCTCATGACCAGTGACAGCAGCTTCTGGTTCAAGGGCATCTTCCGTGTTCTTGACGGTTGCCTAACCCCCCCAACCACCCAGGGTCCGTTGGCCCAAATGCAGTGTCCGTAATGTTCGAAATCCAACCTCCTGGCTTTGGACCTGCAAACAACACTGGTTTCCTGACGACGGTTTGCGTTCTTCAACTTGGATCATGGAACGCCTGTGTTGCAGGTGAATTGGTCCATGAATGAACGCGGCCACGACGAGGAGGCCCCCAGAGTGCTGGTCGCACTGGTCGGAGGGGCAGCGGGTTTTGGGTGATCCTCCTAGTCCCACTAGTCGTGGTCCCGGACCCAAAGCTTCCGCATGTTGCAGTTGTTTTTCAGCACAAAGATGACCCGGTCATGTGGAACCTGACCCTCTTGAGAACGCCCCCCCATGGCACTTTAGGTCTCCCCCCCATAGGTCTCAATAGATTGAAGATCCCTTGGAATCGCAATCATCTTGACAGATCCCTGTTGTAGTCCTTGGCAATGAGTTGGATCTCATTTTACCAGGGATCTCATAGATCCAGGGTGAAACACCTCCTTGGATCTCTTGAGGATTCAGACCCGCGGCACCGCTCTCCGTCAGGTGATTCACCGCCGCGCGCTGCCGTATTTGGAGCCCGACGCCTGGAGATGCACGGTGCGATGCACGGTGCGCGGGTCGACCCCACATCCGCGGTGGAGAGCCCGAGCTCACCATCCGACACCTATATATTATAGACTTTCTCGACCAAATAAGTGTGGCACTTTCCTTTTTCGTTTGTCAAGGTGCCAAGGATGAAGTGATTCTGAATTCCAGTCAGGCGTCAAACAGCTTCATACTTTGAAGAATTCCCGACCGCCCGTGGGATTCGTGGTCTCGCTTCACCTTCATTCCACACCCCTCGACATGGCTCAGAGCCTGTAGTCTGTACGGGTTGGAGCCTGCCAAACGGAAGGATAAGGGGTCCTCAACCACAGCAAGTGCCTTGGATAGCAAACAAAACAAGCACCTGCGTAGCGTTCCAAGCCCACCCTATGAGGCAAATGCTCGCCCTATGAGGCCAATTTTTGGAGAGTCTAGTTTACAGCCGCCAAGGAAGCTCCTCATCGCTTTGATGCATTGGCAGCCTTGGATTTGTGTAGTCCTTGCTGCCCCTTGTGCCTTGGTAGCGTTTTCAGCTGATTGGCTTGAGAGATAGCACTGAGTCGCATCTTCACAGCGGCATCAGTACTGTTAAGTCTCAACAACATTTTAAAGCAGGGTATCTATGCACTCCACCGATGTGCTGGTCAAGCTGGTCGTCTGGCGATGGCTTCCACCTGTTGGCCCCCCCGCTCCGCCACCGAAGAAGGGACGGCGACGGCGGCGTCACGGTGACGGACACGGCTTCTGAAGGAGTTCTACCCCGCAGCCAATTGGGAGACTTATCGGCCCTGGGCCCTTGGCCCCTGGCTGGGTCTGTTCTGGTCGATTTTTTCCTGAAACCGAGGAGGTCTCGCTGTTTTGATACCTTCCGGCAGTTCGCTCCAATCAAGCTCGTCCCCGAGGCTGCCAGAAGCACCACTGGCCCAGGCGAGCAAATGGTTCCTTCGTCGGGCTGCGGGGGACATCTCACTTGTGAGCAGAACATTCTATAGCAAACCCAAACACAGCCATTCCCCTTTCCAGGCTACAATTCAGAGTGTGACAATAAGTCCTGGCGGTTTGCGCCCCCTGGATTTCCGTTAGCAGCAAGCCAAGTGACCAAGTGGTTTCTGCTAGGCTTAGCAAGAATAGTCTGTTTGAGAAAAGCCTTCAGGTCTAAAGGGTTGATAGACATCACTGGAACTCCGCTGTGAGAGCCATGTATTTTGGGGTGTTCCACCAAACGACAGAACCACGCAGATGTGGTTCGTATCCCGTCCCACGTTCGATGCTTCCTCCCTTACGCAGCTGGAGGGTGGATCTGCAGCTCGATTTTTCACAGAGTGGCCAAAACAGACCAACTCCTTATATATAAGTCGGCTTAGCAGGCCGTTCTTGACTGTGCTGAGCCGATTTTGGGCTCTTCAGACGTCCTTCAGATCTTCCACGGCTGCATCCACCCCAAACAGTTCCTTTCGAACAAACTGTTTCCTACCGAATCGTGATGTGAGGTCTTGAGCGCTTTGGAAGAGGAAGCCCACTATTTTCCAGTGAAGGCCGGAGAGATTGCGTCTTGAACAGACGAACCATGCGATGAGCAGGGCTTTCATTTCTTCGGATTAGCCGGGATGAGCTAGCCTGAGATGGACTTGCTCTGAACAACATGGTTCCATTCTTTTCTCTGAACTGATCCTTGAAGCCCCCTTTTTGAGCTTCATGATCCTAGAATCGGCCCTGATAATCAAATTGGCCCTGATCATGGGCCCGTTTTTTACGGTTTTTCCGTCCCCCCTCCAAAAAGAACATCAAATCAAGTCCCAGCAGCACAGACAAGTCGCTCAGAGCCTTGAGGTTTCGGAACTCCACGGCACCCACGACTCCATGGTCCAAAAACCCTCAAATGTCGACAGGGTCCAGGGCATTCATCCGAGGTCCTTGGCACTCATCCAGGGTCCTCATCCAGGGTCCAGGGGGGGTAGACCGAGCATCCAGGGTCCCTGTCTCCTGGGGACCTCCTCTTCCGTGTGCAGCGTCGCGGGACGGAGGAACCGGACGGCCCCTGCCTGGGCATCGCCAGCCGCGCGGCGGTGAAGTCCTTGTTGCCGAGTTCGAGCCAGGCCCCGGGGGTTTTCCTGGGACGTGTTGGGCGGTGAAGAAGGAGAGTTGCGGATATTTTTTGGGATCTAGAGGAGGTGAAATGAATTGACATGAGGGGGGGTTTTGAAGGGGAGATCGGTGAGCACCAAAGCTGTTGTGGATTGTGGAATGCTGGTATTTTGGGATCAGACGGGTGTTCCAGGGTTGGGGCAGTTTTTCAGTCTTTGTTCCTCCGGATTTCTTCGGTGGTCTGGATTGTGCTGTCGTTTCACAGAACCGGAATCCGCACTGGCGAAGCTGAGAGTTCACACATGCCCACCAATTCCCATCACCTCTTGGAGTGAAGCACCGGCTCCGCTGCCGCACCGCGCCTTCGCCTTCTCTGCTCGTCCCGAGCACCGGTCTCGGGAGGCGGAACATGTCCAGCTGGATAGCGAGCTGGTGGAAGAGCTCCTTCCCATCCACCGCGTCATGGAGCGCGATCTCCACACGCCAAAGGTTTTCCCTTTCTTTTTTTCCGCGCGCGTGCGTCTTTTCAGACGGGTGACCCAGTCTTCACCCTGGAAGACTGGTCGGGGTGGAAGTCTGGGTGGAAGGCTGCAAGCATGGACTTTGTCAGGATTTTGCAGGTGTTTCCATGTCGGCTCTTTGTTGGGATAGATGAGGTGCCATGCCGCGCATGGCGAGGAAAGAGAGGAAGACGTTTTTTCAGAAGCGGACCAAGACCTCTGGAATTCCTTGAGGTCTTTCATCTTTACCCACAACTTGGCACATCTAATTAGAAGGAAGGCTTCCAAATGGGTTGAAGAGTTGAAGGGTGACTGCAATTCTGTAGTGGTTTTCAGCAACAGAATTGGTGTAGCTCTGGTCTACTGATGGCGTTTCAGAGCTCAACCTTTGGTAATCGTCACCAGAAAAGAATTGGTGTCCAACGCACTCACAAAAAGATTCGGATTTCACGGGCGAATTATGTATGTTTTACCCTCCGACAACACATCACATGGAAGTGGATGGCATGGACCACCAGGATGGGCCATCCACTTCACTTCCATGCCGTTCCTCGGAGTGAACCACGGTCGGTGGAAGACCTGCCGGCATCCAGGACCCCACGCCCTTCACTGTGGTGGAAGACATGCCAGCACCCAGGTGAGAGAAGGGACAAAAGGTCTTGCAGGAGGAGTGGATTCTTCTCGGTTCATTAGAAAGACATCTTCCAAGGGGGGGGCGGCCTTGAAGTACTGGAATCGTAAACTCATTAAGGCACGGCCGCACGGCTCTTGACAATTGGATGTAGGTCTCTTGGGTGGATTTGGGCGTTTTGCGAGTCCCTCCTTGGAGCTCCCCAAGGAGCGGGAGCGGAGTTTTTAAGACTGTCCTTTGTTCAGGCCTTGTCAAGCGTTGCATGGAGGCCCGTTGCAGGTGATTGAGGATCGGATAGGTATGATAGGTTGAGGAACCTCAGGGGTTCTGGGCCTTGCACGACATGACGGGTGAGGTTTCCAGCCCTCTTGGGGGGATGGGGACCACGTTCGTTCTCGGTGCCGCCTGGTCATGGTCTTCACTTCAGCGTCACCGTTCGCCCGGCACGCTGGAACATGGGGACTCCGCCGGGGGGCGACATCCGATCCGAGTCTCCACGGCCCCTTCGGGACGCGCGGAGCTGGGAGCTCGGGCTCGGCATGGGATCCCTTCACCGCCAGATGACCAGGTGCCAGGAGACCACCACTGGGTTCAAACCAAGACCTCCACCGCCGCCGACCCGCCGCCGCCGCCGCGCTCACCGCGGCGCTGTCTGTGCAGAGCTCGCCAGGCTGTACAGTCTCTTCGCGAAAGCTGGCGAGAGGGCGGCCTGCGTGACCTCGATTCGTGGGATGGACCCAGAGGAGTCAGTCTGGGGATGACAGGTGCCAGGGTGGAGTTGAGTGGAAGTTGAGGACCGATTCTTAGACCAACTACATACAGTCTATTTTGTTTTTGATCATTTGTCACAAGACACAATCTCCTTGCTTCTCACATATTTGGCACAGGGTGATGGAAACTACCCGCACTTCGACGTTCGGCGCACAAGAATGGATGTCACTTCCCAAACCCACTGGTCCTCATCCAAAGAATGGTCTTTTTCCTCTCGTACTTCTCTTTTGTGGTGGATGATAATCCACTCCTGTTGTCCTCTCGGGAAAGAAAAAGACACTCACCCCACAAACAAAGGCATTATAAGACTGATTTACACACGAGAAGAATCAGAGGAATAAGACATCTGGACACCAGAAATGTGGCCTTCTTTGGCATGGAATTCATGTGCAGGTGTGTGTTTGTTTCCTTAAACAGTTTATAACTATAACTATTCCATCACCGCACGGGAATGTGTCTCGGAATGGGGCGAAATGTCCAGTTGGACCTGCTTGATAGAGGAGAATGGATGGGTTCGACTGAAAATGGATACTGGGTGAGGCCTAGGAGCAGACAGTCACCCCAAACAAGGAGGTTCCAAAACATTTGGGCTTTCGAGGGGTCCAAGCTTCAATTTCCCTTCCACAGCTGATCTATTTTCTATGCAAGTACTTACATGATAATCCATCAGGTCCATCAGGTAAAAAGGAAAATACTTCCATGTGGCCTCCTCCTGTGGCCGAGCGTGGTATCCCGGTTTGGTGTTTCACCCTGCAATCATCGAATCTTTTAGGTGGTTCTCCTGGATTTTCCTTCTTTCCGATGAATGCACAGTTCAGCTGGATCTGGGAGGTTCTTTTTTTGACAAGCTGTTCCGTCCCTTGACTGTCCGAAGAGGCTTTCTTTTGGTTTAGAAATGGTTAAAAGGGCTTTCTTACTAAACCACTCAAGGTTCAACTCCAAGCTTCCGCTGTCGCCCCTGTTTGTTTTGGGTGAAGAACTGCATCATCCTCCACTGTCTGAGGTGGCGACTTCCGCGGGCTGATCAGCCGGGAACGGCTCATCGCGTTGACGCGCTGAAAGATGAGAGCGGCAAAAACGGGCTGTGACGCAAGACCGTAGTTGCATGGTTTGTTCGGTGGTGGGAAGCGAGCAGATTGGAGAGCAGATTGGTGTCAGCAAAGTGGACTGGGAATGATTTGGGTATATATAGATGGATGCTTTTGATGTTCCAATTTTGATAAGTATAGCTAGAAGGGTCCTTGAGGTGCATGCTATCTAGGTCTCTAGGTCTATAGGTAGTACTTGGATGGTTGATCGGACGGTATGAGTTTGCCAGCATCACATGGCGTGGATAAGAAACATACAATCGGGGTGTCTTCTTGATGACACCCATTGGCGACGTGGAGACTTCTCCTCCAGTAGACGTCGAGACAAACAAATGCTTCGTCTCAAAACCATGTCGGTGGGGATGAGTTGGTTGAAGCAGCAGATCCTCGAAGTCCCGCTTCATCCTGGTATGTTAAGTCCATCGATCAACATGGCCATCATGGGTTATATAACGGTTAGGGTCTCTTGGGTCCCAACATCTGTCTGTTCCACTCACCCTCACCCCGCGTCGGTTCCCTCGCAGGCCGCGGCGACCCAGAAGAAGACGGCCGAGCACCAGGAACGCCTGGAGGAGGACGCCGGAGCACGGAGGGGGCGAAAGACAGATTGGTCGGTGCCCCAAGATGTTTGGGGCGCAAAGAAGGGTCTTCAACCCGGCTTCACTTCCAGGTTGACGGTGATTTTCGAACAGGTTCACTTCCAGGTTGATGGTGATTTTCGAACAGTTCGAAGAACCTTCAAAGAGCTTCACTTCAGTTGAAGGCTTCACTTCAGAAAGGTTCGCTTCACTTCAGTTGTCTCACTTCACTTCTTCTATCTTCTTCTTCATGCTCCGGCACCCACCGCGAGCCTCACCGGCGTGAAGGGTGGCGCTGTTGTTCGGCTTTCGGCTTACGACTCGCGGTCGACTGGTCGGTGGGTGCCGTAGACCTCGGGGGACATCAGAGAGCTTTCAGTGAACGAAATATCCAAGGAAACAACACACCAAAAAGGAATTAAGACCGAACAATGAGGCAATCAAGACCAACGCTACGAAGAGCAGGGTTTTCTCAAAACGCAGAACTTTAGGAACGAAGAGCACGTTGGATAAGATAGAACATTCCTCTCTGCCCCTTCGGGTCTCCACACGAGCCTTCTGCCTCGCGCGTCCGCCGGGGTGCTGCCCTCGCGCTTTCGCGTCGCGCTTCCGTCGCGCGGAGAAAAGGAGCTCCAGCGGGTCGCTGCGGAGAGCGAAGCAGAGCGCCGCGAGTTGGAGCGGAAGATCCAGGAGGGTTTTGGGGAAGCTTTTGGGCGGCTTCTGGGCGGAATCTGTCTGGTTGAGAGGTGTTCTATGCTTTGAGACTTCAGGAGTTGGAGTCGCCCGATGTCTGGAATGAACTGAATGGGATGAGGACCTCACAGCGAGTTACGTCCCCACTTCATTACCAATTAGGTGTCTGTGGGACGCTCTCATTAGGTGTCTGTGTTTGGTTTGTAGGATCAGAGCTCTGTTCATGACTCATGACTCAGCTATGGCCATGGCTCAACAAATGGGCGCACCTCAAAACTTTGCTGGACAAAGTACAAACATGACTGTCAATCTATGTCAATTTGTGCTTCATTCTCGCGCACACAGCACACTGATCAGTCTCGAGTGTTCCTTTTTCTACTAACAGGCCATGAAAACAATGACTCAAATCGACGGGTCTTTCTAAACATGTAACTGTTAATATAGTTACAAACACCTGAAAATTACAGACCTTAATAAGACTCCCCCACCAGGCTGCTGTTGGCCTCTCTTTCGGCCACGAATCCAAGCCCAACTTCCTGAAAAGCACGACCTGCCGAAGACTTCCCCACTTCGTTCCTCGTTCGACTCGACCAGGTCCCGCCATGGCCGGACGTGTCGCGACGTGTCGCGGACGTGTCGACAGGCGGAGCGCCAGAGCTGCGAGACGCTGCGCCGGGCGGCGGAGCGGCGGCGAAAGGAGCAGCAGCAGGCGTACGAGGCGGGCGGAAATGGCGGTGGCAGAGGTGGATTGGCAGAGCTTTCAATTCAAGAAAGAGGTTGACGATTTAAATTCTACCCAGAGGTTTTCAGGTTGATTTTCCTGTAGAACAGTCTTTTCTTGCATGTAGATGGGGTGTGCATTTTGTTTGTTGGAAGCATCGTTTTCCTTGGCCTTGTTGGCCCCTTTCAGTCTATACTACTCCAACTGCCCGATATTTCGGTCTTTGGGAGTTCTGTAGGACATGAACAACACCGCTTAAGGTCGCCATCCTTGGACCTGTGTGCACTTGCTTGAGTGGGGAGGTCTAGACTTGCGAATTCACAGAGGGTGTCCAGCGACTTGGGGGCGGGGTCAACGACTTGGGAATTTTCGGACCTGGCGGAAGCCAGTTGGAATTGATGCCCCGAAGTGACTCAGCCCGTCAGCCCTTAGGTCATTACTACTTTTTCGGGAGCTAGAGCTTGGAGAGAGGTTGAAAGGTGCTGGGAAGGAATTTTTCCCTATCTGAAGTCTCCCACCGTGACACGGTGAAAATTTCCGAGAGGGGTGATTTTGGACCCTATGGTAAAAGCCACTTCAGTGCTTTTTCCCCCCCCGGCAGGCAGGCGCCACACTCGACTGAGAAGAAGAGTGGGGGTGAAGTGACCACATACACTTTCAAGTGCTATCAGTGGTATAACTGGGTCTCAGAAGGAGAGTGACCCTCACTGACCCGTGCTCAACTGCCCCCCTTTCGGCGGATCTCTCCAGGCCGCGCTGGATGGGCCGGCGCAGGAGCTGGCGACGTTGGAGGTGCCGGGTGTCCTGCGAGGGTGAAGACGCTGCCAGGTCGAAGAGGTGGTCCAGTTGGGACATTTGGCTGGCAAGAGCCTTCCTATTGTTTGCACGAGGAGCCACAAAGGAGTGGCGTTTAGTCCCCAAGTGAGCGGATCATGGGCACCCCTAGCCTCCATTAAGCACCCCTTATATATCATATACTCTGGTGCGCTCCCCCACCGCCGGCTGGTGTCGGAGGAGGAATACAGTTTGGAACGTTTGGTCTGTTTGCCTTCGTTCGGTCTGGTCGAGACACTACCGGGAGCTGGGATCCATTTGGACTGGGACCGGTCATGTTCACCATCACCAAGCAGGGACCTGTTCCTTGGGGAGATTTCTAAGGGACGACCGTATACAGATGGAGTCGCTTCCGTCGGATAGCCCCAAAAACAAACCGGGATGCATGGCAATGCAAGGGGGGGGTCTTTTGTTCAGAGGAAAAGAGACGGGTCAGAAGCTTTGTCCCCACGACTGGGCACCACCAAGCGTCCAGCATGCAGGGCTCCATCAGTGAGATTCAACACACAGCCGAGTTGGAGATCTCCAGCTTGGGCCTCGCGACGGCCTGGGGGTTTTCGAACGTGCACCGCGAGAACTGCGGTGTGGTGTGCGTGAGGTTGGTGCATTCGGTGGGAAGAACAGGTGGTAGGAAGGATGGTTTTCTTGCCTAAGATTGCATTGTTAAAGTTATTTTAAGTTGCGCATTGCGAATCCTTCCTGGCAGTTTCTGGTGTGCACCACCTTAGAATGTCGGAAGACGCCCTGATGTCACGGTGTGTGCACAGCTGATCCCCTCCTCTTCAGGGGGGCGGAGAAGTGACGGTTTCGCTGGAAAGTCGATTGTTGCTTCAAGAAGCCACCACATGTGTTTCTCTCGTCTTGGTCAAGTGCAAAGTGTTGGCTCTTCCTGCGCCTGAGAGAGTAGGGACTGCGTTTGTTGCCAGGGAAATCTCGGGTTGTTTGCATTCCCAGGGGAAACCGTCCTGGATGTTGATGCCGTTGTACGAGGTTTGCACCAGAAGTCCGAGAAATTGCGCTCGCGCACGGAGGAGAGACCCGGTGGGCAAGTTGGGTTCGCTGCGAGTCACATGCATGTTTCTTAGACTTCCTTCAAAGAATACAGATAAGTAGAACCAGGTTTCTTTTGAGGGTGCCACCTCTTTCTTGAGTGTGACACTGCTCTGCTGTGAGACAGACCTAAGAGCAAGAGTTTCCGGGCAACTTCTACCCCGCGCGAGCATGTCAGTCAGCACGGCATTGGTTTGAAAGATCGTGAAACCCAGAACCCCATTCTCAGGATCTTGCCAATATGAGTTTTCGGGGTTTTGGCTGACCCCTTGATTTTGATCCTTTTTTTGACACCTTTTTTTAACACATAATTTTGATATAATTCTTAGAGTTTCCGGTTGACTTGATTTCCTTCCCAGGCTCCAACTACTTCCTCAGTTTCGGTCGGATCTGGCCCGAGAGACCATCACCCACCACCGTCTCACACTCTCAGCTGACTCTTGGAATTTTCCTTGAAGTCCCAAGTCGCAAGGGGCCTCTTCCGGCTGTTACCATATACCTTTTAGCCCTCATGGCGTTTTGCCCCCCCCGGTACGGTGGGACAGCCACGCCCCATGTTTCAGGAGCTGGAAGGTGAACTGCTTCGTCTGCAGGAGCGGTGCTTTGGAGTGGAGTGACTATGCCAGGAGTGACTAGCAAGCCTGAGTAGAGAAGAGGGTGCAAAAGACAGTAGTAACTACTGAGTAGTTGAGGAGTTGGAGTCAAGCCAAGCACCAGAGGTTTAGACTAAATTTTTCGGGCCTTCATGGGTTGACTCTTCTCAGGAGAAGTTGGCTCAAAGTGATAAGGAGGCAGGGAGCCACAGGAGCCCAGTGCCGACCCGACGGTGTCGGTGGCGTTTTCCTTCGGGTCTCCGGACCGACCATGGCGCACCAGGTGCAAGACAGCACGGCGCAGCTGACCTTGGCCAAGGTGCGTGTTCTTCTTTCCTTTTCGGGAGGAGGAGGAGGAGGTCTTGGGTGTTGGCTTGGGCTGTTGAGAGGAGAAATCCAAGTGGCTGGCCTATGGTGCAACATTTGCTATCTGTTTTTTTTTGATGCGGGGCACAATCTAGCGATTTCAGGCTTGAGCAAAGATTGGAAGCCGGACCAGGTGTCATCTTCTTCATACACACGTGGGCCAGTTCTTTTATGACGTGCTGCTCGAGAACATGGGGGTTTGAAGAGACTACAGTAAGACACCACATGGGCCAGTTCTTTTATCACCACAGTTCTTTCAGGTCTCACTGCTGCTCGAGAACATGGGGGTTTGATGCCTTTGGAAGATTACAGTGAGACCTGAAAGATGGATTGCTCGTCCATCTCGGGGACTTTGCAGACGTGACCGAGCCATCAAATACCTGAAGTCACACCGCTGTCAAAGTTCCCAAAAACTCATTTCAGAAGATCCCAGGATTTATGGTGTTTCGAGCATTTCATTCCAAGTGGTGCAATGAACAGAAGTAGCTATAGATGTAGCTAGCAGTTTCGATCCGATCCAGCCTCTGTTTCCTTAGTGCCATGTGGGGTCTTCTCTAGATCTTTCCTCGGAGGGACCTAGCTTGGAGCGCTCCCATACTCTGCAGGCACGCAACCGAAGCAGTGTGGAGACGCTGCAGCAGGTCGGAGCCCCATCTCAATACCTCCAGGGTCCAAGAGCATTGAGTGGGATGGAAAGTGAAGGGGAAGTGCATTGGCCGATTTTGGATGGAACATCATACTCTGAGCCTACATTTCCCCAAGTCACCCAAAATGCGTCCGGACGTGGGTCTTTTTCGGGGAAGTTGATCTTTGAACTGCATAGAGAATCTGTCCAAGCCCCAGCTGCTGGCAGTTCAGTGGAAAAGCTTGGTCCGAACCGGGGTTGCACTAGCAGCACGCTTGTACTTGTATTTATCATCAACCTGAGGAGGAGTTCCAGCTTGGAAAATCACCCTTTGCGGCATAATGTATCCAGTATCCACTTCCACTTCTACATGGGATAAGTTTGGGCCTAGAAGACCGATCTCATCTCGCCCGACTTTTCCTAAATCATTTGACTCCAGTACAGTTCTGTATTTCTACTCAGCACTACTCAGGCGCTGAAGGTGGTATGTACTACTAGACTAGGTCGAGTGAGACGAGTTATTTGGCATTCGGAATTTCAGCGAGCGGCGGAGGGAGCGCGAGTCCCTGGCGCCCTGGAGCCTGTCATACTCCTTCTTTTTCCCACAGGACACATCCGTGTCAGTCCCCCATCATGACTTGCTAGGATGTTCTTGGCAAAATGAAGAAACCTAGCATCTAAGCAAGGACACATCCTTGTCTTTCCCCATCCTTGTGAACAGGACACATCCTTGTGAAACGTCTCCACAATGACTTGTTCACCCCAGCAGCGAACGGCCGCGTGGCCCCAGGAGAAGGTTCGGAAGAGCGAACGGCTCCAGCAGGTCGGTTCAAGACATCGGGCGATGTGGACGGTTGGGACGGTTGGGTTGGGTTGGGTTGATGGGGTGGTTGGTTGGTTTTTGTGGCTACTTGGTACCTGGGGTTATATATGCCTGAAGTTGGCTGAAACCAGGGATGTCCCAACACGAATACCTTATTTTTATAGATTTTTTATAGTTCTGACGTGGGACAGCACCAGTTCGGTGGGTTCTGCTCCAGCTGAACCGTGGGGGATTTGACCCAAGACATGCAGAGACATATTGGTACCAGTACTAGCGCGTCCTATGAAGGTGCAGAGTTTCGAGCATCCACGCAGTGACATCATGCCACGGCCACGGGGTTCTTCATGATGAAGCTTGACGCTGGGCGCAGCTGCTTGTGGCCCAAAGTCTTGGTCCTCCACTCGTGAAGGGCCCAAACCACGACCTGATCACTGGCCGAAGTCAGCTTCAGTGACTTAAAGATAGACATGAGAAGGGTCCGATTGTTGGAATGGTTGCACTGGTTGGCACCATGGTGAACCCGTGCTTCACAAAGGGGCTTGGACAGCTACTAGGCGTCCCAGTCTCCACGTTGTTGTACACTAGTCATACACTTGATGGACCTTTGCATGCACAACACCCGCCTGGCATAAACAAAGCCTTGAAGCACAGCACATCAGCAAAATATCATCTGAAAGATGGGTGCTTCCATCAAGGTCAGCATATCAGCAACCCTATTGAACCAACTGGATTCTGACATCACAAGGACCGCTGTGACTGTGACTGCTGCAATTTCACCAACCAGCAGACTCAGTAGACCATCGCCATTCATGATGACCACGCCTTTATCGCCATGAGGACATGCGCCCTCCTCGGCCTTTTCTCTTCGGCTCTGTGCTTCCTCCGGGCACCCATGCACCGGTCGCTCGCGCTGCGCCGCGCGTGCCCGGCGCGCGGCCGGCGCACGGCGAGGGCGGCGAGCTCGGCGGTGCATGTACTGGCTTGCGCGACGGAGTATCGGCAGGAGACGGCCATTCTGCAGAGGAGCGCCAAGCGAAATGGAGACTTGGAACCAAAGAGGGGGGTTGTGTGTGTTCCTGGGATGGAAGACACTCTTATTCAGGGATGTGCGGATTTTGGAGTGTCACTGGCACAAGAAGTGCTAGGGGTCGTGGGATAGGAACCTGACTTGATGGACGTATACAGTCTGCACTGGTGAGATCACCTTAGATCCGTACAGATGTACCGTCTGCTTGAAGTACCGAAGGACAAGGGGGATGTGTCTTGGATTTTGAGTGCTGCAACTTGTTTGGCAGATGAAGGTTTGTAGACCGACAGGAACCTGGAAACTTCAAAAGGAAAGTTTGACTGGAAAAACGACACATGTGTCACATGAGACAACTGGAATCGGACACACATGAACCTAACCAGGCCTAGATTGTCCACTTGTACCGGTGGGGTATGATGCTCTCCCCAAGTCTCCCCAAAACATTTATTGGAAGATGGGCCCGTGGAAGTCTGAAGCTTGTTTGTTCCGCATCGTGCAAGTGATCCTAATTTTTGGATCATATCTCACCCACCACTGTGGTTACTGCCCCGGAGGCTTTCGTTTCCATACGGTGGGCCTGGGAGAACCCTGGCGCGGCTTTGCCACCAAGCACCTGGGCGACGCGCACCGTTGTGTCGCGCGAGCTGGGAGAGGATCATCCTGGTTATGGACGTGGGCATGTGCACTCCCCAGAATAGTTACGGAAGTGGACAATAGCCCCTTGGATGACCATTTTTTTTTGCTTTTCCACATCCATAATAATTTTAGGGAGTGCATCCTCACTGGTTTGTGGTGATGGTTGTGGCTGCTAACAATGCGCTTCCTGGGGTCAACCTGGGTAGGAGTACCCAACCAGGGTGGCAACACTAGGTGGAGTGATCCTGCCAGTGGTTGATTTGCCATGCACTGACCTGGGGCAAACACTCGCTCCAACATTTGCACAGCCAAGAGAGAATCACCAACATCCTCGGGAATTTGGCCCCATAGCAACATGAGCTATGTTCAAAGATGCTGCTGATAGATTCTCTTTAAAGACTTGACTAATCAGCAACGTTTGGGTACATTTGGTTTTGTGGGAGACGCGCCAATTTTCAAAAGTCTTCCCAGGTGCTGCCAATCCCTCCCTGGATTCTGGAATCCGTGTCAGAGACATTTGAAGTCCCCAGCAGGTTTCATTCCGAATGTGTCGTTTGCCAGAACCCAAGAAGTCGCAGATATTTAATTGCCGTGCCACGAAGATATATAGAGAAGTCAAGTCGATCAACTCAACTTATTGAAGTTGGACTCGAATTGAACTGAGGTGACGCCCATTGCACCAAGGGGTTTTATTTCACCTTCCACCTGCGTTCTTGGTTTCTTTGGTTAACCATGAACTGCGAGAGTCATATCCCGCAGGCCCACCCCAGATGGTCTGTTTAATATCACAGCAACGTCTCCACTTGAAAACAACATCACTTGCTTCATGGATGCCTCTCGCTGTGGATCTCACCTTCGTTCTCCAGGTTCTTAGCCTACGAGCGTCGTTTGCGAGAGCTGCGGGAGCCGCTTGGCAAGCGAGCGTGTGGTACGGAGGGGGGGGCAGAAGTCAGATGATGCCAAAAAATCAGCTCCCAGCATCAGCCGGCTCAGACTCAGGGCCAATCCTGCAGAGGGTGATGCAACAACGTCATGATCTCCAGGGTGTTCACATGTGTTCTCCGCCCGCAGCTCTTGTGCCTAGCCTTGAGAGAAAGGAGTCTGAGCAGCTTATGGCACTCTGGGCAGACACTTGCAGATGTGTTCAGTAGTGACGAGCTGCGGCGCTTGGTTGAGGAGGCAAGAACGCGGAGGACACCCAAGCAGAAGAGTCCTGGGAACACTCTGCGAACTTCAAGGGCTTTGGGTGATGGAAGTGGCTCATGGCGATGTTGCAAGTGTGCTGTTGAGAAGACGCTTGCCCACTTTTCCGTTCGGGAAGGTGGCTACGTTCGCTCCTACTGCAAAACTTGCGACAATCAGAGAAGGGCTGATTATGAACGAACTCTTCGCGGAAATGCAAGTGCTCTTGTTCGTAATGCCAAAAAAACGATCGAGAATGAAAGGTTGGGACTGTAATTTGGACATCGACTTTATCCTTGACACAATCCTGCGACAGGAAGGCAGACGTGCGTATTCGGGTGTTCAGATGCAGCTGCTGTTGCCACACTCAGACTGGCGAATGTCTTTGGAAAGAATCGACAATGCTATTGGGTATGTTCCGGAAAACAGTGTTCTTATTGCAGCTGAGTTTAATACAATGGAGAAGATCAGCAAAAAAGTGCCAATGCAAGCAACGTCCGGATCTTCCAAGTGGTCTTTGCAGAAGGTCCAAGGTGTCAGAGCTCAGCGATTGCGTAACGTGGACTTGCAGATCTTGGATGAATCGATCCAGGCTGCACGTGCAAGGCGTGGGCCCTTTGCTGTGCCTAGTTCAATTGCTTCTTTCGAAGGTGAAGTTGCAGGAATTCTTGGGCACTTTAGATGTAGCAGGTGCGGAGTTTGGAAACCCGCCAATTGCTTCTCCTTGGGCAAGACAAGCAGGAGGGGCCTCCAAGACAAATGCAAGCAATGCGCGAGTGAATACCAAATTGCCCATCGAATGACTTTACGTGGTCACATCCAGCGCATGCTTGGCCACGCCCGCGGCAGGCACAAACTGGGCAAGTGGCACGGCAACTTTGAGATTGACTTGGATTCTGTGCTGAAGATGCTGTGGTCTCAACAAGGGCGTTGCTTTTACTCTGATGTCCCGTTGCATTTCGCCCAACTCAACGTCGATTGGATGATGTCACTGGAACGGCTGGACAACAGCAGGTCATACACCAAAGACAACACGGTGCTGGTGGCCTTGGAATTCAACACGCCAGATCATAGTCAAACTGCCAAATCCGAGGTGTTTGGTTCTAGCCAGTGGTCCAGGTGGAAGGTGGAACATGTTTGGGGGGAGGTTGGGAGAATCAAGTGAGTGAAAAAAGGAGATCTGGCTCAAGGCGTGGAGAAGAATGACGTGTAAACACATTCAAAAACATCTGCCCTTTTCAGCTGGACAAGTGGGAGCTGCGAATATCGGTTACGGCCTACCCAGTGGCTGTGCAAGGCTGCTCCAACGGTCGGTGACCTGAGATATCGGACGAGAGGCAAAGTGTCGCCATAAGAAATAATCGACCAGTTCTTGTGGCAGTGGTGGTAGTCTACGAGCAGTGGGAATTTGCACAAGTAGTACCATGAAGCACAGAAGAATTACTTAATTAAACAGAGTAATAGGCTATATAGTTTTCCCAAATGATATCGTACTATTGCACAGGAACCTGAACAAACAAGCAGTGTGCTAGTTGAGTCAGGTGTCCCTTACAGCGCAAGGGGCAAACCCTCTGCATGTGGTTGAGATCGCTGATATGAACATGTGACAAGGGCCGTTCCCAAGCAAGCCCCCCAAAAGCCGAGCATCATTGGGCCATTGGGCCTCCCAGTCACATCCAGTCACAGTGAGAGAGCGGGTGCAAAGTGATCCCTCTTTCCGTTCCACTTGCAATGTGTCAGTGTGTGTCGTTTTTGGTGGTCACTCAAAGAAAAAAGAAGCTTAGGAAGTGGCTGAGGTTCAGCACTTGGGTGAACCCTTCTGACTAAGCTATACTATGCTGCCCCCTCCATGCTTCGACCCCCACAGGGCCTTCGCCGGCCTTCGCCCGAGGCGCCTTCCACCGGAGCAACTGGTGATGTTGCTGGATGCCTGGGACACGGCTGCTTGGCGCACCTGTGTTGCATGCGCCACGTCAAAAAGGAAGGCAACATGAAGGGGATTTCAGTAGGGACGAAACGTATCTCCCAGATGTTGAGGTACATTGCAATGTATGAAGAGCAAACACACATTGGAACCTTTTTAGCAGGTTTTTGAAAACCATCTCAGGTGGACTGTGGGTGAACACCCCAAACCACCAAATCCTGCTTCTCGTCCCCCGAAACAAAGTCCTTTTTTTGGTCGGTGCGGTGTTCCTCCCAAGGGCAGGGTTTCAGATCCAAGGGTCCGTTCTTGGGGAGCGCAAAAAGAGGTTTAGTACGGTTTCCCCAAGAGGTTTAGTAGGGTGTTAAGGATCGTTCTTTCTCAATTTTCCAGTTTTGTGTAGTCTCCAGTTGTGTTTGGGAAAATCCTGCGACGAATTCTTGGGCGCTGACACCGTCTCAGGTGATCTTGGGCTCAGTGGAAGAGCTGCACCAGAAGATGGCGCGGCTCCCGCCAGTGTCTTCGACTGGGCGGTTTTGGTGGTTTGGGGTGTCCGAGCGTGTTTTAGACGCACAAATAGTGTTGCATGATTTTCAGTTGGTTTTAAGAACCCCGTAAAATCACGTAGCTAGTCTTCAAAAAGAGCTTACCAAAACAACTACTGAAAACAAAAGACCCGTAAACAAAAGAGTTTACCTTTTTGGGTCAAACACGTAGCTAGTCTTCAAAAAGAATCCACCGTTGGGGTCGAACGATGGAAGCAGTGGAGAGCCGATGCCCCGATAAGGAAAAGGACAGAAAAAACACATAGTTCCTATAACAAACAGAAGTGGTTTCCAGTTGACACTTCCTGAATCTATCCCGGGTATACTATGTTCCGAGCAGACTGGGGTGCATGTCTTTGATCCTTTTTGTGCTTAGTCCCAAAACTCTCTGTGGGCTCACGATGAGAGAAGAGATGAGGGTTCATCATTGATAGGGTATGTAGCGGATAACAAGTGTAGCGCCTCAGGTCCTACGGGCACCCTTTTGTGGGTCTCAAACCATTCTTCAAGAGGGTTCACAAAGAAAGAGATGGTTCTGCAAGCCAAAGCCTGTTAAAAACACGTAACATACAGAAGAAAACAGACACAGAGAATGAACAGAATGAATGGAAAAAGAAAGGAGTACAAAGCAAAGAACAATAACAGCAGAGAAAGGGAAAACAGAAGGAAATGAGAAAGAACAAACACAGATGCGTGGAAACCCGGAAAAGAAACTGTTTATCAATTCATGTATAGGTCGATCTTTCATTATCTTGACACGATTCTCGAATGAAAGGAATCTTGGAACATGGCCTCCCAGCCCAACAAAACTCCAGAGAACATTCAGTCATGTGGCGTTTTTTCATCACAGTCAATTCCATCCCTTACCAGCCAACGCACCACCCCAACTCACCTCACTTGCCGCGTGCATCCTCTCCATCCGAGGGATGGCTCCTCTGCGGCGCGGAGCGGGTCTGCGGGCCAAACCACTTCCTGGTGGCGCAAATCGAAGCGCTCTTCCCCGATGGGCGCCTCGGAGCGGAGAGCCTTCTTTGTCGTGCTCGGTGTCGTGCTCTTGTGCCTATAGAGGTTTCTAGGAGAAGCATGGCATGTCGAAACTATATATATATATATGTAACTAAATATGTAAGGAATGTGCCGGAAACGCTTCGCACATCTGTTGACATCATCAATCTACACGCCAACCGATTCTCTCGGATTTACCATGGCGCTTCGCGCATGCAGCTACGTCCGTCCGTCCTCCCAAACACATTTGGGCCGCATGGATGTTCTTCGTATCTTGTGTTCCACATGTTCCAACCCCCAAAAGATCCTCCACGGGTCTTTCTTAGCCGGCCCCCCTTGCGCCCCGTTGCGGGAGGGCCGGACAGCAGGGAGGACCGACGGTCCGAGGCACACGCCCTGGAGATATCCCAACTCCGGTGGCCTGGTGGGACCCTTGGAGGCCACCGCGGACGCCCACGCCTCACTCTGTCCACTCATTCGGCCCCAAACCGACGGACTGAAGGGGGCCGGACCAGCATTGTTCATTCTTTTTTTTGCTGGTGTTTGGCAGGTGAGGGGAAATTCTGGTTTGGGATGGTGGCAAGGAAGTTCTGAGAAGAAGGGGATGTGGGCAGACATCCATATCACAGTGTCGTGGGGTTGATAGAGCTTCATGATGCTTCCGTGTATTGAGGTGCAACGCTTAAATTTGCATGTCGTAACTCACACATGCATTAGCAGTGGAATGCAGTAGATATTTCAGCGTCTGGCCTTTTCTTCTCATGGTCCTGGAGGCAGAGCTGTGTAGGGTGAAGTGGTGGGGACAGGAAGGGACATGCGCATGGTCACATTTGCATATAGAGTAGATATTTGTTTTGACGTGTCCGCCTGGTCCGGCATGTTGCCTGGACGAGTTTTTCCTTTCCTCAAGGTCCGCAAGAAGAAACACATCCCTAGGTGGGTCAAAGTGTGGCTTGACTGCTTGACCACTGGAAAATATTGCACACCATGTGGCCACCCGCGGCTGGCAGGTGATGCTGGAGCTCCTACATGATCTAGTTCATGACACGGAGAGGGCACAGCTGGGTCAGGTTGTGATTCTTCAAGCTTTGTAAGGTCACGGGTGCCCAGTCTATTCCGCATGTTTAGCAGCACGGTATTTTCTACCGGAGACAGACAGGCGCATAGTAAGAAAGCGCGCAGATCCGTACGCGCTGATCCGACATGCGCCGGCAGGAGAATGGCCTGGCATTGCCAGCAGAGGAGAATGACCAGGTCACCTGGCTTGGTAATTTTCCACCATAATGTGCAGATGGTGAGACATAATTACCAGACTTGGGCAAAACAGCAGGGCTTCTATATAATTAGGGCATCCGGAGATATGACACTTGGAGGTTACTTGATGTTGCTTTGGAATCAAGGCCTCAACTCAACTCTAGTGATGGGCACAACACTGCAGCTTTGATGGGAATCTTGGCCTGCTTTCTGCCGGCTTTGCCTTCATCTATCTCCTCTCCCGTGCCTTAACTGCTGATTTGGTGACCCCTTCACATCTGGTCGGCGGACCGGTGGCCCCTTCACCAGCTGCACCTCTTCTGCGCTCCAGGTGCGGCTGCATGACTTCCTCATCGCGCGCGCTGCGCAGGGCCGCGCGTTTCCGATGCGTTTGGACACGGATTGCGAGGTCTTCCAGTGTATGTACGAGGCACGGAAAGGGAATGGGACAAGCAAATAAGAACGGAAGATCCGGACTGATCGAATGGGAAAGCCGCATCGGATGCCGCAGGAGCTCAACGTCTTTTCACGTGTATGCTTTCACTCACCTGTTGAGGGAATGGGCAAATAAGCAAAAGGTGTGTGTGGACTGCGAAGCAAGGAAGCTGGGCTTCTGGCTTGTTGGAGAACTGGTGGCCTATCGGGTTTATCTGCCGGGACATGCTTGGTCCTCCGCCAACTCCAGTGACTCGTTGTCCTGTCCGCTTGGCATTGGAACACCAGAACTGTAGCACCAGAACTTGTCCAGGGACTGGAACTGGAACATAGCACCCCCGAACTGGAAGCTTTTTTCGAGCTCAGCTCTCAGCGTCCCTCCCACCACCGCGCGATTCAGCGCCTTCAGCTCCTGGCAGGAACAGCCCCAGTGGCAGGTTGACCTGTCGGGGCAGAAACCACGACTGCGAAACCAGCTCACGCAGAGCCAGCCGCTGGTGGCGCATGGCAATGGCCACACTGGAAGGTGGTTCTTGTCTGCCATGTACAGCGAGATGAGCCTTGCGCAAGCAATGCTTTAGGTTGGGTGGGCTTGGGTGAGAGGCTTATAGATCAAACTGCAAATATGTTTGATTGAATCTGTGGAATGAAACTCCAATCAAGATACCTGAACAACATACTTCAGGCCAGAGTATGCCGTCCCAACCCCTGAATAGAAGAATTGGAATTTGCAAGTGGCAGGCTCCCAAGGTAACACCGCTCCCAGCAATATTCTGGCTTTCTTGGCGTCCTTTAATGAAGAGCAGTCAGCATGAAGGTAGATTGGCCTACAGGCCTTGGGTCCAAAGCTGGACCCCAAAACCCTGAACCCCTCGTCTTCCGGTTTGGACCCCACAGCCAGGTGGGTGACCAAAGCCCCAAGCCAACAATTACATGAGATACATGGGAGGTGTGCAAATTTCCAAAAAAAGCACCGCACCAAGTGTGGTTTTACAGTGACTCATCCTGAAGTAGATGCACTACTTGGCCAAGCCAAGAATCACGCAAACACAGAAACATTGCTCCCGGCTTTGGAACATAGAACCGAGCTCGTGATTTTTTGGGCCTTTGGCCGTCTTTTTCAACGTCCATTCGGTGTTTCCATGTGTTTTTCCCCTCGCTTCTGAGGAAGCTGCTGGATCATCTGGGCCTGTCCATGGCCGAGCTGCAGCACTTGCAGCACGAGATGCCCGTGCCCCCAGGCCCCCGGCGCGTTTTCACGCGCAGAAAACGAGCTCTGCTTTCGGCGTTTCCGAGAATGGACGGTGGGCTCTTTAAGATTCTGGAGGTGCACACAATGGAAGGAACAGTGGTGTTTTTCACTGGTACAACTGTATAGTGCAAGGGCAGTAGATGCAACAGATTCGCATTCTCTTCTTTGATGTGTATATGGGGTGAGACCACCGGATTCGATTACATCGTAGTGTATGGGTGTATGGAGGGGATGAGTTTGAACAGTTACCCACCACGATTCCATTGGATGGTGGCTTCTGTGACCCCCACCCCTGCGACCCTCGAACTGCAGCCGAACTGCGAACCGCACAAGGCACCGAAGTGACCGAGGAGATCAAGGCTGAGTACTGCCCCTGGTGGTACATGCCCGGCTGCTCGAGCTGAGGAGATAGCTCACCGTGCCGGTGATGTCGGACAAGGAGTCGGGGCTTCCGGTGGTACATGTCCCACAGGACTCGAAGGGCTCAATCTTCCCAAGTGGGGGGTTGTATAGGGACTGGTATAAAACAGTCTTGGGGATTTGAGCCAAGAGTTCTATCCTTCCCACTTCCACCAGCGGTTTTGGGGTGCCCCAAGCAGACCTGTACAGCAGGTGATCCATCAATTCCCCTCATAGCTACGCCGTGGTGAAAAAGGACAACCCGAAAAATCGCATCTCTGAAGCCCTTGCGGAGGGTTGCAGATCGTTTGTTGGAGGTGTTCTCAGCGACCATCCGAATGATTTATTTTTTTCACGTGGCGCGCCCAGGAATGCACAAGGGTGCCACCGATGGCTTTGCGACCTTCCGAAGCATCCGAGAGATGATGTGCGGCCGCGGCTGATCAAAGCTTGCCCCCTTGATGGCCGCGGTGGATGAAAAGGGCGGAAAAAAGCGGCTACTGAACGACAACACTTAAAAAAGAAGCTGACTTTGAGGTCAAGACATGGGTCATGATAGTCTATGATGGGGGTCCCTCTTTGCAAGGTTCTTCACCGGAATTTTCTATCTTGGGAGCTTTGGGGTGGGGCTCTCTTGCTGTCGCAGTTGTTCTGTATCATCCCGTGGATTTTTGCTTTCCAAACCGGGTACTTTAAAGGTTACAAGCTCCGGCACAGCTTGTTCCAAGTTGCAAACCTACTTCGTGTACAGGTCCCATTGCCTTCGTTTTTGAGTTTTGTGGTGGAGGTCTGTTGCACGAAGCGTCCAAGCACCATGGCGAGCATGCATCCAAAACCACTGCTGGCTTTCAGCGCGAGATACCCTCCGCCCCAACAATCCTGGAAGTGGGGGCAAGTCGTCTTCCAAGGGCCATTGTCCACCTCCATGATTGTACATTGTTCCAGGAAGTTCCACGGGGAGTGCCAATATATAAAAAACAACACATAAAGATTTGACAATAGTCTTATAATCAGTTACAATCTCATGAATATTGTATTTGTACATCAAATCCATAAGATTATATGGGTGTCTTCACCCTGCAGCCAGGTTCAAAGCTCCACCTCCCAGAAGCTTCAGCGCCTTGAGCTCCCGGGTCCACGCCGGGCGTTCCTTCCGCACCTTGGCCCGGTCAGGCGGCCGGGTCTAAGAGTGGCCGTAGAAACGGGACGTAGCGCCATAGGGGCTTTTCAAGAAATGGGTTTAGGGGTCAAGGTTCAAACCTGGAGCACTGGAGCTCCCTCCCAACCTGGAGCACTGGAAACCCCTTGGCTTGACCTTTGCCTGCTGTCTGTCTGCTGTCAGGTGGTTCCTTCTCTTCATGTTCGGTCCAGCAGGTTTTTTTTTTTTTTTTTTTTTTTTTTTCCGGTGCCATGAGCCAGAGCTACAGGGAGTGTTTACAACACATGGAATATCTCGAGGGGAGCTCGTTGGGTAGTGCTTGATTTGGATCCCTCAGCTGGAGGTCTTGTGGGCAGACAACGGCTATATATATATATATACTGGTTGATCGAGCCAGCGAGTTCGGCGGTTGATTGGTGGGGGTCGGCTGACTTGGGGCAGACTTGGCCTCCCAATACATGAGAAGCAAGTCCGTCCCTTAGCTTTTGGGGTCATCCATCCCGTCCCATCCCATCCCATCCCATCCCATCCCATCCCATCCCATCCCATC